CGTATTTCTTCATGAATTTGGGATGATTTTTGGTAAAGATTCGAAAAGCGTTCCAAAGATGTCTCAGCGAACATATTAGCTTGCATGATGTTAGCAAAATTACGACTGTGAAATTTGATCGATGTTGGATACTGCTCACCGTGGAAATACTACAACAAAAAAAGTTCTTTTAATTTACAAATTCTTTGTAATGTATATTTGATATCTCATACGATGAACAACAAAAAGATTATTCTTATTTCTTCGAGAATATAGTGAAAATCCTGGAATTAAGAAGATTATAAGCTTAAGCAATCTTATATTCTTGAAATTGTTATGCTTTGTTGATAAGTTATCTCTTAAATAATTGAGTAAAAGATATTTTTTTATTAAAAGAAGGAAGCAAAAAATGAATACTATGGCATTTTGCTCGTTGATAATTTTCATCAATTCATCATCACGAATTTTGTCGAGCTTCTCAAACAGTGCTATGATAAATGTAATATAGTTGAGCACATAGAGAACCAGAACTCTAAACTATCTCATTTATCAATTTTAAATAGTTATTCCATCTAGAAAATGAAAAATGAAACTTATCAAAATATACATGAATATACTAACGATAAACATTGTTCTATCTTCAATTTTGAATATTAATGACTTTTCAAAAAAAAATATGATTTCCTGCATTAAAAAAGTATTGAAAGAGTCAAGAAATCTTTTTTCAATTTTCTTCGTGTTTAATTATTATTTCTTTTAGGATTCTATTTATTTTATCACCAAAAGATAATGTAGTCATAAAAAAATTTTTTCGTAATTTTGTGAAATTTTTTTTCAAGAATTCGGCAGCCTATCTAGATGCAAAGAATCTAACAACACTAGTAATTAAATTTTAAGCACCTTATACCTTGCTAAATGAACTCGAAGCGCAGTTCGAGGGTGATATCTTTCAATCTGGCCAATAAGATCAAAAATCATTGGAAAAACATTGGTTATTGTGGCAATTATTGTGGGTACCTATAAAACATGGCAATGCATGAAAGTGTAAATTTGATTCAACAATGAATTTCATCCTAATGCTAAAAGTATTATCTTAATTGACGCTAATGATGATCAGATTTCCATGATACATTTGATGATGCATCATGTTCTATTCAAGAAAAAAAATCCAATTTTCAATAAAAATTTGGGTATCATTTCAAGTGTTGAAGATATAACTCGAGCTATTTATAGCTTAGTTATGCTTTAATCATCCTCACTGCTATAACGATATTCTTTATGATTTTAGCAAATTTGTAAGCTTCAATTTTCTAAAATAATAGGAAATATAATAGTAAAGAAATTAATATAAAGAAAATCAATAAATTGGATCTAAAAATAAGCAAATAGGAGAATCAGTTAGGAAAATCTCATTATCGTTTTTGAGATTTAGAAAATACTTGATTTTTTGTTAATAAATTGCCAGTTTTCTCCAGTGTTTCTGATGTTTGAACAGCAACTGAGATCATATAGATCGAAAATGCAAGCATTGCAAGGATGATAGCATTTGCTATTACTCGAGCCAAGAAAATTAACGGTTTGAATTTCTTTTCCGAATTTACTCGGCATTCCATGATTGATTCCTATAATAAATATAAATATAGTTTCAAAGAGATTGATTTAAATTTGAAAAATTTCAAATGAAAGTAATTAAACTTCATTTATTTGGTGAAAAAAAGATATACTCTAAGTTTGATGACAATAGCCATTGTAGTATTACTGGCTGTTTCGCTATTACCGATAGTATAATCCCAACCGCCAAAAAGTTTCCAACTGAATAGGTACTGATCCGTTTTTTTATCAGACATTTTACTTAGACGAGCATTCATAGCCATCCTGTAAAGAGAAACTTTTGAAAATACCCCAAAATTTATTTTTTATTATTTTCTTATAATCCAATTTTTTTAAGGTTTTACTCCAATATACCAATTTAAGTAGCACTAAAATGCACCAAGAATTTCCGCTCTTCATGAATTTGAAGATTTGATATAAGTTAATTCAAACATCTTAATCAATGATTTTAATAAAATTTTCAGACCTCTCTTAATCATTGTATAATTTGCAATGATTATTATATTTTGAAAAATGGACTTGGAAATAAGCTTAAATAAAGAATGCTAACTTCCTAAGAATGGCGAAGCAGCTATATCCGAACACAAATAGGGTAATGATAAAGTAGGCCAGTGGTACCGCGTATCGTATTCGTGCTCCAACAAATTCATCGTTACTGTAGTAACCGTAGAAAAGCGGTGAATATTTAAGATAGCCCTGTAATAATAGAAGGTGCAAATGTGATATGCTAATGAAAAGGAACTCAATGTTGAAAGATTTGAAAAAAAGAAATGAGCTTTAATAACTTGACCAGTTGCATTTTGTGCATTAATCTTTGGAATTTACTTCAAATCGCAGGAATATATTCTAAGCACAGTTCAATATTAATTAATTTCATAGACTTTTTAAATGTAGCACAAATTATGATAATGTTATCATCAGAATTGATTAAAGGTACTACAATTATACAATAGAGCTACGCAATCTGCGAAATTTCTAATTTGAGAATACCGAATGCATCCAGTTGACTGAATTAATAATAAACAAAACAATAAACAAGAAAGTACATCAAAATTCGAGACGACTTGTAATTCATCCGCATGGATTAATTCTTGTGATGGGATAATTTTCCTTGACGCAGTACGGTTCACGCGACTCGGATCTGCTGCTGCATCTGCTAGCATCTGCAAATACGTTAACAGTATAATGTTTACAGACGGAAAACTCCGCTTGTATATTAGCAAATACATTAATAGTGCAATGTTTTATAGACGGAAATAATTGCTAGTAATATTGGTATCGTGTTTCCTACAGGCAGAAATTATATTACTTCATCCGATTGATATATTGATAGCAATGCACAACACTTTCAGTAACATGCAATATTCACGAGATATGCAAAAATATGAGATACTTAAACTATTGCTCTATTCTTTTTAAGTAGCAAAAAAGTCATTTTATAATGTGAAATCGTTGTCGCTTTAATAAATCTCCTCTGTTAAGCTAGTTTTAAGTAAATCATAAGTTTAAAAATTTCTGATTAACTTAATTGGAAGTTATTAATAAAACAAAGAAAATTAAATCTTGGGATTATTTCACCAATAGCTACAAATTAAAAAAAAGACTAAAGACAACCTCTGGAATGACGATGAATGAGATTATAATCAAAGTAATTATCACATTTACGTAAACAATCCAACGAAGAAACGTAAAATATGAGGATACCACAGATCCAAAATGACCTAGAATAATAAAACTTCACGGATTCTTATTTAACAAACTAATTATTAAAATAATTTGGAAAGGATTTAAAAAATTTTAAAAAGATATAATAATCAAAATTTAACGTAAAGAACACACTTTCAATGCGTTTAATTTTTGCTTCCCATGGTATTAGGTAAATTTTGACGTTATCAGCCCAACGACAGAACGCACCCCATCTCTTCTTCAGTTCAACTTTTAATAAATGCGTTTTAGATACCCGTGATTCGTGTTGCGCCACATATTTCTGTGCTAATCTATAAAAAAATGAAAAAACAATTCAAGCAAACGAAACTTGAATATGAATATAGAAATGGGATCGTATATAATTGAAGAGAAATGATATATCACAATAACAAAATTTAGAGTCATCTACTTTCATCTTTAAAATTTAAAAGAAATTTTTCACTTCTCACAAATTATTCCTCTTTTGTAAAGCATTTAAAAGTAGCATTAGCAGTTTAGATGAACAATTCGTAAAAAATCAAACGTCGATTCTAAATATGTTCTTTGTCTTTTATGTTTTAAATAAAAATCATTTCACAAACTATTAACATTATTCCACAAACATCAATTTTTATTTTCAACTAATTCGCATTGTAAACTACTGACAATAAAAAGATTTTGAAAAGTTGTATGAACAGCAATAATTTACAATGATGATTGAGAATAGGATAAAAACACAGAATTGATGTTTCCAGAATAATCTAATGGTCATAAGACGATTTGGTTTTTTCCCTCAAATTTTGTTACAAAAAAATTTTAAGAATATATTAAATCTTCTGTGCAATCTTCAAGTTTCATGAGAAAAATCTTATAAAAATGATGATTAAAATTTAATTGAAAAAAAAATAGAAAAAGCCAACTTTAAGGAAAGAAAATTTATTGCATTGAAGAGAAGAAATTTACAATCTAATATTC